ATTGGAAACTCATATGTTCAGGGAATCACTGACTCTTAAGACTCACCAAATAGCAGAACTGTGGGTTCTTGATGTCGTAAATTCATCTAAGTATGGAATTATATCACTTCAGATTTTAGAACTAGAAAAATCTTAGCATGTCAGAACTGGAGGGGACCAGGGTAGTGATAGAGTCCACATATAATTTCATTCCACAACTCGGACAGGTAGGAATTATTAGATATTGAGTCTAAGACTTGGACAAGGCTTGCCAAGGCCACCCAGTAGTAGTGGTAGAGTCAGGATCTGAACCCCGGCTGCTGGCTTCAAAGCCTGATCATCTGGTTAAAGAATTAACCAAAAGAAGGAAAGCCATGAAGTCTGCTTCAGGCTGAGAAAAGTGGGGACAGAAGGAACGTTTGTTGAGTACCTATCAGGTGGCAGGCAGTTCCAGGAGATTACAGATACATCGCATCATTTCATCCTCCCAATAACCCACAAAGTGGTTACTATTATTTTTATTTTAGAAATTGAGGAAATAGACTCAGAGTGGTGAGGTGACATAAGGATCCCTGGTGTCACAGTGGTTAAAGTGCTCATCTACTAACTGAAAGTTTGGCAGTTCAAACCCACCAGTTGCTCAGTGGGAGAACGATGTGGCAATCTGGTTCTGTAAAGATTACAGCCTTGGAAACCCTGTGGGGCAGTTCTACTCGGTCTTATAGGGTAGCTATGAGTCAGAATCAACTCAACACTAATGGGTTTGTTTCTTCTTTTTAGTGAGGTGACCAGCCCAAGGTCACACAGCTAGGTACACATCAGTAACTGTGTATACTTCAGTAACTGTGCCCACTGCCATACTTCCCTGAGTAGTGGAGAAGGGAAATCAGAGAGGAAGATTCTGGCAGTATTTAGCTAGTGCCTTTCCAGGAAGAAAAACTGAACTGATAGACATATATGTGGAGAAGTGGACTGTATTGCGGGTCTGGGTGAATATCCCTCAGGATTCCTACTACTCCCAGCCCTTCCCTGATCTCACACTCACCCAGCATCCTCTGGCTTACTAACCTGGCCTCCACATACCCTGATACTGGGAAGAGGGTACTCTGGATTACAGACATAAGTGACCTCATCATGGGAACTGTGCATTCCCCACTGTTAAATGATGTTCTGAGGTCAAAGCCCTTAACTGTGGCAACCTCATCCAGGCCCTTTGCCCCATGAGCCCTACTTAGGCAGCCATTTATTTGTCCCTTGCTCTAATAGCTCTAACTACCCTCTTTAACATAAATGCGGGTCCTCATTCACACTCACATAAATGTTTTCAATATTTTAACCAATTTTCACTTAATATTTAAAGTTTACAGTACACACATACATTTGACTGCATCACAACTCAGTGAGGTTAAGTATTATTACGCTCTCCTGTTACAGATTAGAAAATTGAGGCTAGAGGAGGTTATGCAAGTTGTCCAAGGCCACACATCTAATTAGTGGCTGAGCCAGGATTCAAACCCAGATACATCTGAATCTAAAGTCTGTTCTCTTTGCATAACACCATGCTTTTTCATGGATATCTCTATTTAATCCCCATAACAGGGGTTAGGAAAGTATGAAGGTCCTTGGTCCCTTTTTAAAGATGAGGAAGATCACCTCAGAGAGGTTAGAGGACTTGCTGAAGGGAGCTCTCTGGGATGAGGTCGGTGCTGTCATCAGAATCCAGACCTCCTGACTCCCAGTCCAGAGAACAATTTCTCCCAGACCATATTGCCATTCCCATCAGACCATGTAATTTCTTTTTCTGATGGCAACATGGAGCCAGAAGCCAACAAAGATCACAATCTGTCTGCCTGAAATCTCCCTTTGTTATGAGATGAGATTTTAAAAAATTTTTTTTTTTTTTTTCAAACAGGAACCAGGTTAAATCACCCCTGCGTGTGTTGAATTGGCCTGAGTGTCCCTGGTGCAACTCCAGCTGCTTGTTCTCACCCTCTGAATGACAGAACAAGGCAGGGTGGCTCCAACAGCATCATGGCTTGCTCAGCTCCTGCGCAGCCTCACGCATAGTCTATTCACAGTTAACTCCTTCCAATCACTAGCTCCTGCTCCCCAGTGCCACTCCCATGCAATAAATTACCAACTCTTCTCAATACCAAATTCTTAATATTCCACAAGAGTCTCTGGGTAGCACAAATGGTTAAAGTGCTCGGCTGCTAACCAAAAGGTTGAATGAAGGTTTGAGTCCACCCTATGGCCCCTTGGAAGAAAGGCCCAGTGATCTACTTCTGAAAATTTATCCACTGAAAGCCTTAGGGAGCACAGTTCTACTCTGACACACATGCCATCACCATGAGTCAGAATCAATTCATTGGCAATTGGTTAACATTCTACCACCACCACCATCAGTCTAGGCCTGAATCATCTCCCACCTGGATTATCATAAGTAACATATGTCCCTGCCTTTAGTTTTGGTCTCTTCCAATCTAGTCTTCCCACTGCAGCCAGAGTAGCTTTCCACCTCTGTTAAAAACCCTTCAATGGTTCTTCACAGCCTTTATAGTCAAGTTCAAATTCCTCACAGCCTACCGTTTCAGCCTTGCCCTTGCATCCAAAGTCCTTCAGTGATATTGGACCACTTACAGCTCCAGCTTCCTCCCTCTGCTCTGTGTCTGCAATATCTTCCCTCTAACAATCTGCCAACAAAATCTGGTTAATTTTTACTCAATCTTAAAAACTCAGCCTGGATGTCCCTTCCACTGGGAAGCCTTCTCCGACATCCTAAGACTGGGTTTGAGTTTCCCTATCCCCACGAAAAAACATTTTTGTCTTCAGTATGTTCACTGCTACATCCCCAGTGCCTAGACCTTTACATGGCCTATGGTAGGCGCTCAGTATATTTTTGTTAAATGAAAATTTCCCATAGCTGTCTGTAATTCCACCACCACGGAATGTATAATAGGTATTATAATTGCTTCTTTCCCTTTCTGTCTCTTCAAGTAGACTGAAAGTTCTGTGAGTCAAGAACCATGCTTTCTTGTTCAGTATTTTACCCCTGGTACCTTGTATAATTCCTGGCACATACTAAGTGGTCTGTTTACTTTTGTTGAATGAGGATGGGTGTTGATGGGAAGAAACCCTGGGCCTGGGCTAAGGGAGGGATAGTCTACTAAGAGACACATTTACTTCCAGCACAAAAGCATGTACAGCCACTGAGAAAGGAGAGGAGAACCCACTAAAACTGACATTAAAAAATAACCACAAACTAAGTGCAGGCCTCCTCTGGAGGCACCCATGTCTCATCGTGGATAAGGGTTGCAGAATCCCCTTTTGTGCACATGCGCAAACTCCTTTTCTTCCAGGTAAGTCCTTCTACCTCCTTTGCCACAATATTATGGGGGAGAAAATTAGTCACAGCATGGAATGAGACGTAAGCATGTATCACAGGAGCTAGGGGCTCCTTGAGAAGTCATGAGCCATACATCATCCAGTGGGAGGGACAGGGTGTCACACAGGAGATTCCCAAGACTTTGGAAACCAAGGATCCTCTGCCTCAGAGAAGCCTGCTCCTTGGCCTTCCTGAGCCAGGTGGTTATGAAAGCAGAATTCAAAGCTGACTGCCTTGGTCTCTGGTGACTGCAGGGAGAGGGCTCTCCATTCTTATCATGATCTCTCCAGTGCTCTACAGGGCCTGGAACACTTCTCTAACACCTGGGCCAGCTCCCTTCCCTGTGGAGCCTTCACCTGCCTCCTGTATCCCCAGCAAGGAACTGACCCACCCAGAGCCACCACACCAGGCTACAGTGGACTGGATGGACTTGTCGTAAGTCAGGCCTTGACCAGAAGGATGTTTTCCTGCACAGAGTGATAGGCACTCCACGCACATTCACCAAGGGATGAAAAAGGGCTAAAAAGAGCACTTCCATTTCTGGGGAGAGAGAATTTACATACAGAGAGAGTTAATTTCATGCTTCTCCTTTCTCCTTCCTTAATGATAATTCTTTATCTGAGAAAACCAAGTATTAGGAAAGGAGAAATGGGTCAATCCAAAAGCAAAAGGATGAAGGAAGGCAGAATCTGTCAGAATCCAGAACAATTTATATAAAGCAGATGGGACCTAGAACCCTGATCCCATGACCTCGAAATTAGAATTACTAAATAATCCCTGAAAACTTAAGCAAGCAAGAAAGTTACAATGAATTTCATCATGGCAAGCTTGGGAGTTTTCAGAGAAATTTGGTGAAGAGCCTAAGAGGAAAAGCAATTTAGCAAAGAAAATAACAAAGGCAGAGAGAAGGATGCACAGAGGATCAGAGGAGAAAGACAGGAGGGAAGAAGAGGAGGCAAAGAGGAGAGATGAAGAGAAAAGGAGGATGGGAAGAAGAAAGGAGAGGAGAAAAGGCAAGTAAGAAGGAGGGATAGAAAGAGACAGGACAGGTGAGGAGGGAGAGATGGAAGGGAGGGGAGAGAAAGTAAGGGGGAGAAGAAACAAGGAAAAGGAAAAATAACGAATAGACAGAAGAGAGAGTGAGAGAGCGAGAGAGCACAAGAAGACAGAAGAGGAAAAGAGAAAACACAGTTTTATATTTACAGGGCTAGACGGAAGAGTCAAGATCATCAAGCTCTTCCCCAGCAACCCTGGGGCTGGTCAACTAGCCTGTGTACTTACGTACCTTAGATAGCAGAATACTTCCTCCCTTGTGAGAGAGTGGAGGGGAGGCTAAGATGAGAGCAGCATGAGGTATAGGTTGGCCATGGGTCCAGGGTACCTGAGAAGACTGAGGACCTAGAAGAGGCAATTGTGCGTATGTGGGGGGTGGACGGGGCGGGTCGATATGAAGAGCAGGAGCAAGTAGGACAATCCACAGATGGCACCAGCAGGACCAGCCACCTCCATCCCCACCCCAGAGTCTCACCCCTTACCTGAGCTGAGGACCTAATTTTTGACCTGTCTAGTAAATTCTGCCAGACCTGGCAGCTGGATGGGAGCTGGCCCAGTGTCGGTGGGGACCTGTTAAGGATACAGGCTTCCTCAGTGTAGGGCACAGCAGCCGTGGTGCCCCCAATGATGTAGCTGTAGAAGGAGACCTCGAGGGTGTAGCAGTAGGAAGTGTGGTCCAGGAGTCCACCGAGGAAGCGACGGCCTGTTCCCGCTTTCACAGCATCCCGGTTGAAGGATGTGCTGGACTGTGAAAGACAGAGTAGAAGGAGAGAATCAGAGCAGGGCACCCGTTGGCCATTGAATCTTTAGCAAATCTTACAACTTCTCTGGGTCTCAGGTTCTTCATCTGAAAAGTGGGCTATTAATCCCATTTTCACTGGATTATTATAGGAACTGATTAAACAAACATAATTCAATGAAAGCATCAGCAGAGTCCTGGGTGCACAGTAACTGTCATTCAATAAATGTTTGAGGCAAGTTGATTTTGAATGGGGACAGGTGGAGCAGAAACAGTAGATGGGGATAAAGAAGCAACTATATTAGGATAATCAGAACTAAAATTTGTACAGTGCTTTCTACGTTATAATGTTGCTTCCCATGTAGTATTTCATTTAAGCTTCAAAATAACCCCTTGAAGTAGGTGTTATAATTTTCCTCCTCTATATGTAAGTGTTATGGATTGTATTGTGTCCCCCAAAAATATGTGTCGTAAATCCTAACCTCTATGCCTGTGGTTATAAACCCTTTTGGGAATGGGTTTTCTTTGTTATGCTAATGAGTCAGGATTAGTCTAGGTAAGTCAAACTTTTTTGAGATATATAAGAGATTAAACAAGCAATTGAGAGAAGCAGAAATGGGGGAAGAGAGATGCCAAGCCATATGAAGACTGCCCAGGAGCTGAAGCTCAGAAGAGACAAGGACCTTCCTCCAGAGCTGACAGAGACAGAAAGACTTTTCCTAGAGCAGGTACTCTGAATTTGGACTTCTGGCCTCCTACACTGTGAGAAGATAAATTTCTGTTTGTTAAAGCCATCCACTTGTAGTATTTCTGTTACAGCGGCACTAGATAACTGAGATAATGAAGAAACTGAGGGTCATAGAGATGGAGTATCTTGCAGCTAGTAAGTGAAAAAGCATAGATTTGAATCCAGGATCAACTGATTCCAGACACCTAATGCTCCTTCACTATGGTTTCCTTCCGTTAGGGACGCCTGCCTTTTCACTACTGTGTCGGTAACACCCATCACAGTGGGTAGAGAGAGGACAGAGAGAGAGCCAGCAGGTCAGAGTCTCAAGTCCTCTGTTCCAAAATATGTTCTACCACCGACCGATTATGTTATATTAGGCAAGGTGCCTTATTTGTGTCAGCCTCCGTTTCTTCATCTGGAAAGTGTTGAATAACATCTCTTTCACAGAGTTGTGAGGGTCAGTTCACTTGAGGTTAAAGGGGCATTCCATGCTAGCCAATGGAAATTTAAGTAAATAAACAGACTGTGGTTTTAATAAAATAATATGTGTCTCATTCAGCAGGAGATAAAAGAAGAAGGAAAAGAAGCAGAGGGAGAGAGAGAAAGAGAACAGTCAAAGAAGACAAACACATAGAGACACTGAAAGCAACAGAGATATATACGTATACATAATTTATAAAGGAAATGATCAGAAAATCATAGAATGTCAGATCTAAATGGATCTTTACAGTCCATGTAGTGAAATCCAGCTCTTCCTTTTTAAGATGGGCACTGAGGATCAGAGAAGAATGGAGACAGAGATCAGCCTACGATGGATGGATGTGACTCCAGTCCTGAGCTCTTAAGAAAGTGGCAATGTAAGAACATCAGGCAAGCCCAGAAATAAGGTTGCAGGACTGTGCTGTTTTTGTAGGCCCCTGTGAAAGTCTCTGGGGCCTATGACCCCTCTTCCGGGGAACCTGGACCCAGGTGGCCACAGTCTGCTCTGAAATTGCAATGGTTTCACAAAGACATGGCTGGCTATCCTGCAGAGATTCCTGAAGAGACAAGCATGGCTGTTTTTGTCCTAGTGAAGCTGCAAATGGGGAAGCCACCTGCTTTAATTCTACCACCAAATGCTGGGTGCCCTTGCACCAGACACTCATTTTCTCTGCACTACAGGTGCTTCTTGGGCATATAGAGGAGGCTGGGTTACATGATTTCCCCGTTGCCTTCCTGAACTGGCATTCAGAGATTCCAGGATTTGAAGCACATCTTATCACGTGGAGAAATTCATCATCTCCACTAATGTCCAGGCCTGAAGCAATGGGCAGGTAGTTTTCAGCTCATCGGCTTCAAAAATTGCTATGACCTTTGTGGGCCTCTTCCCCTTTGGCCACATGCAAATAACAGGCCCCAGAGATTTAGTATCGAAACAAAGGAAAATGTACAAAAACTCTCTCCCATGTCCCCATAGTACATGCTGATTCCCTCATCTTCTCTCCTTGCTTCTTTCCAATATTACTTGTTGCTACCAATTATTCTAACCCCTACCCTACACTCTCCAGTCTTCATCAGTATGTTGGGTGGGTAGCAATAGCAACAGTCTGGGGTATCTTGAACTCTTTACCGCTTGCAAAGTACTTTCATAACTATTGTTGCATTTATCCCCTCAGGAAGCTATGATGTAGGGAGGGCAAAAAATCATCACCCACAGATTTCTGACAAAAGAATTAAGGCCAAGAAAGGGTCATGGAGGAAGAAAATGGTAGGCATAACACCTCCTTCAGCAGACATGCTAAGCTCATACTAAAAGAACTGAGTTAGGTGAAAGCAGACCCTGGGCAGGGGCTGGCATTGGGAGGTGCTCAGTGAGTTTTTTCCCTTTGTTAATGCCACAATCAGATCAACCAAACAAATGCCAACTCATCAGACAGATCAGACAGAGCAAATGTTACCTTTTCAAAGATTCTCTCTCCCTGACTAGTGATGAGCTGCTTGAGTGCATGGACATAGCTTGTTTATCTCTATCACCCATGCAAAACCTGGCACAGAGTAGGTATTCTGAATTGAGCGACAAGAAAGAGAGGGAGGCAGTGAGAGGGAGAGTGCAGGGGGTGGGTGGAGAGGAGCTGGGGCTGGCCAAGAACTCTTGACTTACGTAGGAGAAGTCCTCAGCATTCTGGCAGAGGAGCTTGGGGAAAATGGCCTGCCTCTGGAACCGTTCCTCATCCTCAAAGATGTTGCCGTACATGAAGCCATTCATCATGGTAGAGTGGGCGTGGATGTCAATATAAAACTCCAGGCTTGTTTTCTGTTGAGAGAAAGGATAACAAATGAGAAGTCCAGGGTCACAGAGCTTGTCTTAAAAGAATCAGAAAGTACATACACACACACACACATTTCCAGCGCTGGCCCTATGTGTCAGCAGATCTAGCAGCCATTTGCAATGTGAATAAAGGGGTTTAGGTTGGTGAAGATCAGTTTAACACCATCTTCCCTCAGTGTGTGAAAGCACACCCATTAGCATCCTTCTTCAGAGGTCTTCTGAAAATGTGAGATATTTTGGGGGTTAAGTTGTAATGTCACTTACTCAAAACAGTTAATACTTACATGACTAAAGGTATTAGCAGAATTTTTCTTCTTTGACTAATGAGAAATCCCTTCCAAGCAACATAATTGTATTTACATTGGGCCTACCTATGGTTTTGCCCCAGCTCTGCCATTTCTAGCTGGGGGCCCTGGAATAAAACACATCTCCATTTTAAGCCTCAGCTTCCTTACCTGAAAAATAGGTATTATTAATTCCAACCTCAGAGAGTTATAGTGAGGATCAAGCACAGCTATAATAATTACTATCATTTGCAGCATATCTGATACGTGCCTGGCATCATTTTGGGAGCTTTACATATGATATCTTAGTTAATTCTTTTATTTAACCTCATTCCATGATGTCCTCCTTCTCCCTGATAATTTATAAATAGTGCATGGAAGAAAACTTTTGTAATCTGTAAAGATGATGTCGACTAGTCCTTCCATGTTCTCTACTTATACATGTTTAAGGCACTTTCTAGGTTTATATGGTTTTAATTAGCTTTAGCTTCCACCTTTAATTACTTGTTAACGTTCTCATCTACGAGCAATCTAAAGGTAGGGGGACTGTCTGTAAAGAGTCTGGTGCCTACATCTGAAAGATGCTCAGTGACTGCATGCAGAATGACTAGACAAGTAATCCCAGAGAAATCATCCCAGATACCATAATGGATTGGCAGGAATTAGGGGTATTTTTAGGCCATTAGATCTCCAATGTCTCAAATCTTATCTCCTCTTCTTATATGCGGTAAAACTTAGAAAGCCAGAAACTGTGTAAGGCAGAAACCTGTCGGAGAAGGAAAACGCAAATATTTTCCACTAAAAGGAGCGATAGAAAAGTGGTAAGACTGCACCCTGTCAAAGGCGGAAACCTTGCGAGACCTGGAAAAGCAAGGTGGTCCCATCGAGTTCCGGCTCTCACAGTTTCACTGTATCAGCCTAATTTATCTCTATTAATCTTTTTTGAGGGTGACAAAGGCCCTAAGCACAATTAACTTATCATTCTCAATGGCCGACACTAGTAACAGTCGAGGCAAATCCTGGCTGCCTTTCCATTCCCTTTCTAGCACATAGTCTTGGGAAAGAAGAAAAGTCTGAGCTTAGAAGGATTCTCCCTCCTTGGAACACTTTCAAACGAAGTTAAAACCAAATGAAAACCATGTTGCTTCTAGAATGTGGGCTCAGTGACTGTCATTTCATTTGCCTCAGAGTTGGAGTGAAAAATTATGTCTTGCTGAGCTTCTAGTGCTCTGGGTAGCATAAGCTGTCTTTGGAGAGATACAAGATGCACTGCTCTGTGTGATATTAAACTCATCGTTTTCAGCTTTGGAGGTGGAATACACAATGATTCAACAGGAGCCCTATAAAAGTCATCTTTGCAATTTTATTTTCTTCAATTGTCTGTCTTTTCCTCTGAGCTTTTGATGAGCTGCCGAGGAAAGGAGGAGGTAGAGAAATGACTTAAGAGATGTGTAAGGAAAAACTGCAATTTATATCTCTGGATGTTAGAGCTAGAGAGGGCCTTGGAGGCCAGCTCCTCTGACCTTCTTGGGATTGGCCCTGAGTGAGAAGGCTGCTTGCTTAAAGCCAGTCAGCAAGTAGTGAAGAAGCAAGAATTAGAATCTGGCTCTTCTAATAAGCACTCTGGTGTGGTTTCAACTACCTCATTCTGACACCTGGCAACTAATGTAATTTCATTTTTAATAACCAGGAGGTGAATTAGATGGATTTATTGACATGGTTCAAAAATCAAAGGTATGGAAGAATTTTCAGTGAAAATTCTCCCTCTCACCCATGTCCTCCAGTCACCCACTTATACGCCCCAGAGGCAACTAATGTTATCAGGTTCTCATGTATCCTTTCAGAGAAAATTTATGCATATAAAAGTAAATATTCTTTCCCCCTAGCCACACACACACACGCACACACTCACATACACAAATGGTAGCACACTATACACACTACTCAGATCTGCTTTCTTCTCTTAATATATCTTGGAGGTGATTCTTTCTCGGTGCATAAAGAGTTACCACATTCTTTTTAATAGCCACATATAAACTATTTAACCAGACAAATACTGATGGACAGTCAAGTTGTTTCCAATCTTTTCCTGTTACAAAAATGTCTTAGTAATTGATTGTGTATATATATCACTTCACACATATACAACTACATGCAGAATAAATTCCTAGAAATGGAATTTCAGGGCCCTATGTGCATTTGCAATTTTAATAAATATTGACAAAATGGCCTCCTTAGAGCAACCAGTTTACACTCCCAGCAATGGACAGCAGTGCCTCTTTCTTGATTACCTCAACAACATGGTGTAATAAAATTTTTTTATATTTACCAATTTGATGGTGAGAAATGATATAGAAGATCAGTTTGAATCTGAATTTCTCTTATTACTGTCTTTTATTATATAGTTGAGCATGTTTTATGTTTAAGAACTTTGCATTTTCTTTTCTACAAATTGTCTGTTCATATCTTTTGTCCATTAAAAAAAGGGTGGTTAGTCTTTAGTTTTTGATTTGTAGAAACTATATATTAGATAAATCAGTCTTTATGAGTAGCATAAAAATTATTTCAACTCAGTTTGTCATTTGTTTTTTGGCTTTACGGCTACTAGTACTGTTTTCCCTGCAGAAATTGTTAAATGTATGGTTAGATTGAGTAATCTTTTGTGGCTTCTGGGTCTAATTCTTTCATTGTTTCTTCTGTTGCTTTTACTGTCCCATTTTCCACATTTAAATATTGTATTTCAATTTCAATTTGTCTAGATGTAGGTTGTTAGGTAAGGATTAAATTTTATTTTTTATTTTTAGATAACAACCAATTGTCCCAATACCATTTGTTGAATTGTTTAGCTTTTCCCACTGATTTGAAGTCATCTTTATCATATAAAATTTTTTGTACGCATTTGAGTTGATTTTTGAACTTTCTATTCTGTTCCAATCATTATATATTTGTGTGTCAGTACCACAGTTTTAATTATTTAAAGTTTATAATATATTTTACTATATGGAGGCCTTCTTTCTCAGAATTTTCCTAGATTTTCTTGTATTTTTACATGATTTTTATAATTAGCTTGTTTACTTTTCCCCCACCCCCCAAAACTCCTGTCAATATTTTCAATGTTTGTAATAGCACCATATTAAATTGACAGGATAATCTAGAAAGAATTGATTTTTATGACTTTGAGCTTCCCCATCTAAGAATATGCTTTGCCTTGTCATTTACTCAAGTTTTCTTTTGGGTACAGCAGGAAAATTTTTTAAGTGTTTCCCCCTCCCCCACATAGTCCTTAGGCAATGTATCTTTTTTATTCGCTGTTATAAATGTGATCTTTCCTTTCATTAAATCCTCTAACTGATGGTTATTTGTATAAAGACTTTTGGTTTCAGCATATTGTTTGTCCTTAGACACTTCATTAATTCTATTATAATTTGTTGTAATTTCTCATTGGATTTTATTGGATATTCATTTGTTAATTACTCAACAAATACTTACTCAGTACCTTATAGGGTTGCTATGAGTCAGAATCACCTCAACAGCAATGGATTTTTTTGTTTTTGTTTTTTTGGTTATTATGTGTCAGATACAGTTCTAGGCACTGGCCAAGGTGTATTCTGGGCACTAGTGATATAACACTGAACAGAACAGATAAGCTCCTGATGTCAAAGAAATCAGTTAATAAATACATAAGCTGTCAAGAGGTTTTAATGCCATGGAGACTGATAAAACAGGGTAAAAGAATAGAAAGTAATGGTACTGCAACAACAGAGACCGGAATGAAGTAGGAGAGGGAGCCTTGACGATATCAGGCAGAAGAGTATTCCACGGAGAAAGAGAAGTAAGTGCAAAAGTCACATGTTCTTGGCATGTTTGAGTAACAGTAAGGAGGTGAGGATGCCTGGAGAAGAGGGTGAATAAAGGGGACACTGTTTTCCAGGTATGTGATCTTATCACCTGTACGTAATAATTTTATCTCCTCCGTTTCAGTGTTACGTTTCTAATTTATTTATCATGTCTAATTACATTGGCTCAAACTCCATTGCCATTGAGTCGATTCCAATTCATAGCGACCCCATAGGACATAGTAGAACTGCCCCATAGGGTTTCCAAGGAGCAGCTGTGCATTTGAACTGCTGACCTTTTGGTTAGCAGCTGTCATAGTTTGAATTGTGTCCTCCAAAAATATATGTATCAATTTGGCTAGGCCATGATTAACAGTATTGTGTGATTGTCCACCATTTTGTCATCTGATGTGATTTTCCTATGTGTTATAAATCCTATCTCTATGATGTTAATGAGATGGGATTAGTGGCAGTTATGTTAATGAGGCAGGACTCAATCTACAAGATTCCATTTGGTCTTAAGTCAATCACTTTTGAGATATAAAAGAGAGAAGTGAACAGAGAGACCTGGGGACCTCATACCACCAAGAAAGAAGCACCGAGAGCAGAGAGCGTAGAGCATTCTTTGGACCAGAGGTCGCTGTGCTGAGAAGCTCTTCCACCAGGGGAAGACTGATGACAAGGACCTTCCCCCAGAAACAACAGAAAGAGAAAGTCTTCCCCTGGATCTGGTGCCCTGAATTTGGACTTCTAGCCTCCTAGAATGTGAGAGAATAAATTTCTCTTTGTTAAAGCCATCTACTTGCGATATTTCTGTTATAGCAGCACTAGATAACTAACACAGACTAGCCAAGCTCTTAGCCAC